GATATGTGGGGGTGTGTTAGAACGAGCCGTTTTAGGTAGGCGTGGCTGACTCTTAACTTTTATAAAAGAATATCTCTTTGGATTTGAGACTTTAGTCTTTGCAACTTTACAGATCTTCTTTATGCACCAAGAGCTTGTAACACTCCAAAGAGAAAGGACAAATTTAAATCGCATCATATGACCCCCTTTAAACAAATTTAAGGCCAACCAGGCTTTAATATCCTCAAGACAGTCAGTCCAACAAAGGTTCTATGGAATTTGGATCTTTCCATTTCAAAGGCAGATAAAGTTGTGTATCATATGCATGACAGTGAAATTAGATGCCATACTTCCTGCAAATTGACCCGAAGGGAAGCATATATAAAGAGAACAGGATGGGTCCAGGAATGGAACCTTGAGGGACTCAAATAAAACAAATAAGATCGAACCCACTCCAAAGCAGTCCCTGTAATGCCAAAACAATGTTCTAAACAAGAAATCAGGATGTTATGACCCACAGTATCAAATGCACCCGTAAGACATAAAAGCATGAGAACAGCATAATCACTTGAGTCAGTGGCTAATAACAGGTCATTAAAAACTTTTACCAGGACTGCTTCAGTGCTATGAAGGGATTTATAACCAGATTGGAACACTTCTTGAAAACCGTGTAGATCTAAAAAAAAGTTGCAATTGTATAAATACAACATTCTCCAATAATTTTACGAAGAAATAAAAGTTTTGAAATGGACCTGAATTTGGCAAGAACGAAGCTATCCAATCTTGGCTTTTTGATCAATGATTCCACTATTGTATGTTTAAAATTCTGAGGTATGTGCTATGTGCAGTCTGAGGCAAGACTGCTGTTTATAATTATTTGAATTGTAGGTCCAATAGTTTCAAAAACATTTTATTTTTTTAATTAACAATCTCTATGCAACAAGCAAATAATAGAGGGGGAAAAACTGCTGTGACATAATTTCAAACAAAATCAGGCCAAAACGTTCATTTGGAGTTTGTTTTGGGATTTGTATTACTGAACCTTTGTACTACTATTTTTTTGTACCTTTGCACAAACATGAACATGATGGAGAGCTGCTATATAGCAGAAATTGAAGTTAAACTTCTGCCCAACTCAATCTACCAAGACCAGTGCAAATTAGCAACTAATGCAGCCACGTCGAGTGCAAAAAACATGCTTTTTTGGGTGCAAAATTGTTAAATAATTACCGCATAAAGCAGATTCTGAGATGACCTTGTGAAAGACCTGGAATTTGAAAAAAATACATATGCATGTGGTTCTCAGGAGTTTGATATGGAATACGATTTACTCCCAAAGCATTACTTCAACAGGCCACAGATCTGGCCCTCCATGCCACAAGCAGACAACTTGTGACTATCAGCTGTCACAGACTATCAGTTGCCGCAGAGCCACATATGTGGTTAAAATGTGGCAGGGATAATAAAGGAGAATGTAGGGCAGTAGCTCCCCCTAGACAAGGGCTTCCCCTCTTTTCAGTTGTTCTCTGCCAGCCAGCTGTTTCAGGGTACAGAACAAACTGACTCCTCCTACAGTATTGGGTCCTTGTCTTCGGTCTTGCTTAATCACCTTGCATCTTCACAAAATGCATGGGTGTCGCTCTGGCTTCTTTGCAACTCCAGGGCATCCGTGTTGTTACGGTAAGCGTGACAACGAAGTTGAAGATCCAAATGCAGCTTTATTAAAAGAGCATAGTCAAAACAGGCAGGGTCGAACACCAGCAAAGAATAACATTCAGGGTGAGACAAGAGTAATCCAGAAAACAGGCAAAGGTCAGGGCAGGCAGCAAACAATCAAAAACCAGGTAAACAGTCCAAAGTCACGGAATACAGGCAAGGCAAGGTAAACAGGGAAAAACACAGAGACAAGGAAAGGCTTCAGATTGCAGTAACAGACAAACAATACTCAGCAGTGTGTGTGTGTGTGTGTGAAGTGCATCTTAAATAATCCCACTGATAAGAAACAGGTGAATCCGTAATCAGTTCCTAGGCTGGGGTTTCTGGGAAGTGGAGTCCAGGGTGAGAAGGTGCTAGAGACCTCTGGTGGTGAGCGGGAGGAACAGCAGGGACCAGATTCATGACACGAGTACTGAATTACATCAACAACTTTCTAATCCAAGCCAGGTTGGAGGAGTTGGCAGCTCAACATTCAGAGGTCATGAGGTGTTTGAGAGACCTTCTGACTCAAGTGCAGGGCCGGAGATCTGGTAACTGTGGGTCTGGCCCCCTGAAGCGTACCAGCTCATAGATTCCAGTCTTTCAACTGAGCTCTAAAGCTCCATCCACAAAAAAAAACCCAAAAAAAACTGTATGGCCTGAAATTACAGCTTTTTACATCATTGTGTGAACAGCACCACTTGGACCCAGTCCACTGCCTGGTTGGTGCAGTGCTGGAGTACCTGCAGGAGTGCCCTTCAGCAGGGCTACACTGTGCATGTGGCACCTATTTAAGGCTAGCCATGTACCATTGATGGAGCATGGTAAAATGGAGTAAAAGATCAACTGAATTAAAACAGATTTTCTTTAAAAAAGTATTGCTAAAAATACAAATGAGCACAGGGTTGTAGGATTTCTATCGAACAGACACAGATATGCCATTGAATCAACTCATCACGAGGTCTAAACTAATCATCACTATCACGTGACGTCAATATTCTGAGTCAGTTCCTGTTAGCGCCTCGTCGTTATCTACTTAGAAGAGGGATAATAACTAACTCAATCAGGAGAACGACAATAGATCTTTTCTTACAACACGGGCCGAGGAGAAGCACCTCGTGGGCACAATGTATGGAACTATTATATCCAACAGGAAAAGGACGAGTAAATTAACTGACGCCCTCAGGCCTGCAAACACTGGATCTATACATGACTATCACATGACTCTTGACCACCTGCTTCTTGCCCTTCTGAAACCCAACTGACCCGTGTTCTTTTCTTACAACAAAAGAAACAGAACCTTGCATGACGATTTTAAAAGACAATCATTTAAAATCAGATAATACTTTTATAAGAAGTTATTAAAACTTGCAGAAATACTCCCCACGGGGAGCATGTGATTCGTGCATGACAAAGGAACAGTATGGGGCGTGGCTAAGCACTGCAGCCAATATCTGATTGGAACAATCGCTTCTGGGATGGACCAAAATCAGCCTGCTTAAAACTGGACACAAAGCCTTCGTGGTTTCGCTTCTTGCTCTCTGGATCTTTGGCTCTTTCGCCTTATTGATTGCGCTACAAAGCGCTCACAGCCGTAACATCAGCTAGTGATCCTCCAGAACTCCAAAACTTTGTGACTGCAGAAATCTTCAAAGCTTAGTCTTTGCAAACAGAATCTGAGAAGAACTTCCAGTGCGTTGTCACGTCACAAGGAAACCAACCAATCGCCGGAGGGCATCCCCAGAAATACAAAAGACATCGACCGCATCAGCAGCCAATCCGCAGCCCCGGGATTCCCTCAAGCAGCCATCCAGGAAGCCTGTTGTCAGCTGTCAACTTGAACGCAAGTAACAAACAAATCACCATGTCTTGCTGAACTGGAGCTGAATTGATTTTAAGCAGAAAAGATAAGTGTGTGTGTGTGTGTGTTTTAGCTTAGTTTAATGTGCCATAGAATAGCGACTAAACTTTTGTTTCATTTATAAAGAAGTATTGTCTTGTGTCGTGTATTTTAAAGTCAAACTTTGCCCAGATCCTTTGTTACCTTGCTCAAAATGAATAGGATTACCATTTTGTTTGTGTTGTCATTGGCCACGAAGTAATATGAACAGAATTGTTAAGATATACTGAGTTTAACGCGCGCTGGACGAACCGTTGATAAAGTATAAGCTCTAAATTTTGAATCAGATCAACTTGAAGAAATCAACATCGAATCTTTAAGAATCTATTCCCTAAAAGCTGAAATAAAAGCTAAATCCTTAAAGTTATTACAGGGTTAAGCTGTGCTGTTGTTGACTGCCTCAACAACAGCAATAAATTTAAGGAATTCCTTTAAAGTACTTGTTTTGAGCATCTGAAAATCTGAAAATGTCTCTATATGGCACCTTATCTCTTGCATTTTATCCAAAGACTGACAAGAGAAAACATGCATGGCTTGCAGCACTTAAGTTAAAATCCCCCCCAAAAACGGTGGACAAACCCCCCAAACTTTACCCCGATTGGGAGCTGTATGTAAAACTGGAGCACGTGGGGGAGGAAGACACAACACGAGACATGGAACAGAGTCTGACATTACTCCCCCCTCCTTGGGCTAAACTCGGGGACAGGAGCCCTCCATGGGCTTTAACTCGGAAACAGGAGCCCTCCGTGGGCTAAACTCGGGGACAGGAGCCCTCACTGGGCTAAACTCAGGGACAGGAGCCCTCACTGGGCTAAACTCAGCGACAGGAGCCCTCACTGGGCTAAACTCAGGGACAGGAGCCCTCCGTGGGCTAAACTCGGGAACAGGAGCCCACCGTGGGCTAAACTCGGGAACAGGAGCCCTCTGTGGGCTAAACTCGGGAACATGAGCCCTCACTGGGCTAGACTCCGGGACAAAAGCCCTCACTAGAGTGAGCTCTGGGGCTGGAACCGACACTGGAGCGAGCTCTGGGGCTGGAGCCGACACTGGAGCGAGCTCTGGGGCGGCCGGCGGGCCTGACTTCAGAGCGACTGGCGGGCTTGTGGGAGCCAAAATCCAAAGTCTTTAATGCAAACAAAGCGGGGAACACAGGAACACGGGAAACACTGAGAACATGAAATGACATTTAACAGCGGACCGGAAACGAGGGTCAGAACACACTTTAAATACACAGAAACTAATGGGACACACCTGGGAACAAATGAACTAAACAGGGACAGGAACAGGAACAGGAATAACCAAATATGGGCATAATAATCAAACTGGAGCATGTGGGGGAGGAAAACACAACACCAGACATGGAACAGAGTCTGACAAGAATATGAGCACCGCTTCATGTCATCTACCAACTCATTAAACTTTAATGGGTGAGGCACTGACAAAAGACAGTCATTGTGACACTGTAAAGTGGTGATTTAACATTACATTATTGGCCCAGAAAATGTTCATTTGACTAGAAACAATGGAGACTGGAAAGGAAAAGTCGTAATACCAGTATGATTCGTACGAGACTTCCACGTTCTGGAAAAAGGTGGATAATAAGGGAACTTATTATTGTTATTATTGTTAAGAATTTAAGGCCTGCCACTAAGTATAGCCAAATGGTTAAAGGTAGTTGAAAGTAGAGGTTGACTGATTGATCAGTTAATCAGTTTTCCCGATTAATCAGCACCGATAGTCAATTGCTGGAACTACTGGTTATCGGCCAATATCCATACAAATAGTTTTTTCCAGGTTACGTCTGTTGCTGGAGTGGCTGAGAAGAGTCCACTGTCATTATACATTTGTTAACTAGATGCTGCATTAGTAGAGAAAGAACAGCAGTACTTTTACTGTCAAAGCTGAGGATGTGAACATTGTTTTGACCAAAACACACGCAACCCTGACCCAAAAGTTCAATGTCACATTTGTCAACATTTTTATTCCATTTAAAAGTATGGTTCAGTTTCCCCCCCCGTAATAAAGTTCAGCACTATTTTAGTTTTCATTAAGTATCCATTTTAAAAACTATCAAAATATCGGTTGATTAATCGGTCATGGGCCAGTGTGGTCCAACCTAGTTATGGGTATCTGTAAAATCCACTTTCGTTCGACCTCTAGTTAAAAGATTGTAGGATTAAACCGGAAAGGGTCTGATCCATGAAAGCATTGTGACGGATCCAAGTTCTCCCCAAGTGCAAACCCATGACACTCCAGGGGGACAGTCCCTATGATAATATACAAAAAAGTATTAAAGTATTATACATACAAGTATAATATACAGTTTGTGTACATGGTTACATATAAATCTATTTTTTTTTCAGGTACCTAAAGATTGTCCGGCCAGTGGAGACTCATGCTCTACAGACAGTTCGTACTGCCCACTACATTTCTGCAGTGACATGGCTGTGCTTGTTAGCCATGGCTTCCATCTACTTAATCCTTTTTCTCCAGAACTCCTGGGGTCAAATGCCTGATGCTTTTACCTGTGAATCCCGGCACAGTTCCCAGCTCAGTGTGACCTACAAAATCATCCACTGTGTGACCTTTGTGGGCTTCATTTTTGTCCTGGGATCTCTGATTCTTCTATACTGGAAGACTCACCAAAAGCTCAGACAAGTTCAATCCTCTTCACAGGTCAGTTTCAGAAGTCAAACATTCAAAACTGTTAAGCACAACATGCTAGTGCTAGTGGTCATTTTCTGTGTGTGCTTTGTTCCCTATCACCTGGTGAAACTGCCATACATATTCATTAAACCCCTGCTGCATGATTGTACAGAAGCCCAGCCATTCTACAACCTGAAGGAGCTCACCATCGTGCTTGCAGCACTAAACGCCTCCTTGGATCCACTTATGTACTTTTTCTTTTGCAAGACCTTCAGATCACAGTTTAACTGTACTACAAGGAGTCGCCAACCTGTCTGTGAATGAGGACTCAATGGGTTTTGTATTATTGTGCTTTGTGATGTGCTTCTCTATTGTTTTGCAATTGCCAGAGGATATAAGTACCTTTACTGAAAAGAAAATTGGGGGCCACCTTGGGGGCCACCCACGTCGTGTTCACTTTTGACCTCATAATAATTCCCTGATGTCAATATGTCATATGGTTTTAGCATAAGTGGAATACCAGCATTTATCCAGCATTCACCTAGTGTATCCTCCAGGGGCTCAATGTGAAGAGTGATCATTTTCGAGCAGTGACAGGCTGTAAATTAACTTTTTAGGTTCATTTTTGCATTCTCACATCTGGGGGCATCTGCTGACCACAAATTCCATCACATGGAATTTGTGTTATGGGAACAAATTCCATGTTATGGTCTCTCTCTCTCTCTCTCTCTCTCTCTCTCTACGGGGATGTGAGAAAGATATTGGTTGGTTTTATGGACAATATAAAAATAAATAAAACAATTTTCACAGATATGGTGAATCACACACACACACACACATATCCTTGTGGGGACTCTCCATAGGCGTAATGGTTTTTATACTGTACAAACTGTATTTTCTATCGCCCTTCACCAACCCTACACCTAAACCTACCCCTCACAGAAAACTTTCTGTATTTTTACAATCTTAAAAAAAATAATTCTGTATGAATTATAAGCTTTTGTACCCATGGGGACCTCCATTTATACCTCAATACACAAGTCCCCATGAGTTGGTGTGTAGTCCCCACCAGTGTAGAAAAACCTGTACACACACACACACAAAACTCTGTATAGCTATCTTTGTGAGGATATACATTGAGACAATGCAATGTCTAGCTCCTTACCCTAAACCTACCCATCAGAACTAAGTGCCTCACCCAAACCCTTACCCTAAACCTCTCCTTTACCCAATTATAACCTGACCCCTAAAACCAAGTCTTGACCCTCAAACAGGCCTTTAAAGGGCTCTCAGAAAGTGAGGACTGGCCAAAATGTCCTCACTTTACAACAGGGGTTTTCAAGCTTTTTGGAGCCAGGGACCCCTTATAGGGGAGAGGATTTTCCAAGGACCCCCTCAAAATTATAACAGTGTTTAAGGCAAAAGTTTAATGTGGGTAGGAGGAATGAACATAATATGAATGTTTTATTGGTGCAAATGGTCCCCATTGTATATGTACTTTTTAATACTACAGCATAATATAATTAAATTTACCATATTTTCCAGAAAGTTGCACCAGGTCAGGGGGAAAAAAAACAAAACATAAGTTGCATCGGTGTGTAAGTCGCATTTTACTATTACTTTCAGAAATAATTTAAATACTGAATAGGTCTAAATAAAACGAATGTCAGGGGGGGAAAAACATTATAAACACTAACATGAATTTTACTTCCCCTCACTCCAAATCATTTAAATTTTGTGACATTCATAACAGAACAAAAATAAATGAATATATATGTATATAAAAAAAATTAATTATAGTGCCGATCATTACAAACAACATTTATTTTAAATGCCACAGGCGCCGATCCCGTGAGTGCTCGTGAAAAACACAAGATAGTCTTCGTTATTTTAACCAATAAGAAATGGATTGAGCTTTTACAACTTTATTCTCAAATTTATAGTTCAGTTTGAGGCAGTTTTTGGCATTATTTTAATGGCAAATGTCGAGAGTGCATTATTGTAATACGAGAGGGCGCCAGCACGAATCTCTTGGCTTACAACGGACTTGCTCTCCATTATAGATATTGTGATTATGGCTTTGCGCTCCCTCAGATATTACATGTAACTCAAACTTTGTCCTGTGTACGCGCGAAGGGCTTTTTGTAAACAGGTATATATTAAATAATTTTATTTAGTGAAGCGCAACCCTCATAGAAAGAATGTGTGTATTATTTGGTTGGTAAGTGCATGCATTTCACTTTGCAAGATAAATTTTGTGTAGTGAATTCATCAAACGCACCATCGAACGGAGTATAACCTACTCTAGAAAAAACTAACACCCAGTAGCCTATAATGAATTACTGAGTAATGAGAATGTTTAAATATGCTAAGCATTTGTTGCGTATGTGTATGATAACTTAGCCCGGTTATCATTTACTGGTGTAAACAGTGATGAAAATGTGCGTTTTTTTTTTTATAAAATAAAATGCTAGTTTTTTGCACCCACCAGCAGAAACATAAATCGGCGCCTGTCCATAACAAACTAAACTTACTTACTAAAAACGGAAACTTAACCACATAGTGGGCTCGCAAACCTCTCATTCGGCATGAGTGAATCGTTACGCAGTCTAACATTTGGTTGCTAAACGATTAGGCTACTTGTTATGTAAAGAAGGCTTTGTACTTCTCTCATGTCTGAATATCTACTAACAGCATCCTTCACATATGCAAAAAAGTGTTTGGAAAAACACCACGGCATGCTCACGCTGACCGGCAAAACCTACATATTGTACAACAGACAAGTTAAATTGAGTCACCAAATAACTTTTGTATGTTTAGTTGTCTCATTTAGTTTGCTGGTGATGAGGCTGTGATGTCAAGTTGCAATGCTAGAACTGATATGTTGTGTGCGCGCGGGAGGCGTCGGCGTGAACACTTTGGATTCCTTATATCAGCGGAAAAATGTGATATCCGTCAGATAAGAGCAAGACATCATTCAAAAGGGTCTATTTTTATTTGTGTACCTTCAAAAGGACAGTGAAACGTTGTGCTTTTGTAAATAAAGAAAAACAAAATGCGCTTGCCGTCTTGGTCTCTGTGAACGTCTTACTAAAATGAAGAAAAACTCTGCGATACTGTCTACTTGTCAAACAGACATAAGAAATATATTTAGCTATATAAACCTTGAAGTGCCCGCTTTTAAGTGTTTACGCTTTGCTTATTTGACATTAATGCATTATATAAGTCACTTTGGAGTATAAATCATAGCACGTTTCAGAAGATAAAAAATGCGAGTTGCAGTCCGGAAAATACGGTATAGCAAATTATTTTGCATACCCCCTGGCTTTGCGTCGTGGACCCCAGTTTGAAAACCCCTGCTTTACAAGATTGTCCTCATTCCGATAGTCTAAAACTCAAACTGGCCCTCACAAAGATAGCTGTACAAGTGCACACACACACACACACACACAAACACACACATGTCTGGTCAGCTATCCTTGTGGGGACTCTCCATAGGCGTAATGGTTTTTCTACTGTACAGACCATATATTATATTGCCCTACACCATCCCTACACCTAAACCTACCCCTCACAGGAAACTTTGTGCATTTTTAGATTTTCAAAAAACTGTGTTATCCGGTTATAACTACACCGGATAACACATCGCTTTTCCTTAAAAATTATAATTTCAGATTCTTTTCCATGAGGTGTTTAACATTCCATGAGGTTTAACATTCCATGAGGTAGGCCTGCGTGTCTTAATTCCAGCTTCACTGTTGAAACCAGTATGTGTTAAATGTGTTTTATGTTATTAATATGTTTTTAAACATGCGATATCCAGGTTTGCAGACGAAGCTCCATACAAAAAAGAAAGGAACATGTGAATATGCTTCAACATGTTTTATTCAATATTTTTGCAAGAGTACCATGGTTTCATGCCTTTTTTAAAAAGGCTTTTCTAATGCTTTAGATGCATCAGAATCCAGATTTTCAACAACCAACATGAAATTAATGAATTGTATCACCTTTGTTTCAACTCAAGTCAAGTCTACTTTATTTATAGAGCCCTTTCCACTACAAAGTAGACCAAAGGACTGTACAGCAACACAGCAAGACAAGAATAGTAAAAACAAAAATCAACAATAACGGAAAAACAATTAAAACAATTTACTTCTTCCAAAAGTCAACAATTAAAAGCCATAGAAAACAAGTATGTTTTCACACGAGATTTAAAAACATCAACTGGGGGTGCAGATCTGATGTCAGGTGGAAGGGTATTCCACAGTCTTGGGCCAGCAACCGAGAATGCACGATCCCCCTTAGTTTTCAGGCGAGTTTTCGGAACTGAAAGCAGTAAGCAGTTAAATTATCTTTGAGGTCTACCAGAGTTCATATGAATCAGGTCCGTAATATATTCTGGGGCCATATCATGGACTGCTTTAAAAACTTACAGTAACACCTTATACTGAATCCGATATTTAACCGGAAGCCAATGCAGCTTTTCCAAAACTGTAGTAATATGCTCCATTTTCTTTGTGCTAGTAAGGAGCCTCGCAGCTGCATTTTGGACCAATTGCAATTTTGAAATAAGAGATTGGCTCACTCCCAAATAAACTACATTACAGTAGTCCAAACGGGAGGAGATAAATGCATGAATCACTATCTCAACTTTTCACCACACATTTAATCTGATGATCAAACGTTAGAGCTGTCAAAAATTACACTCAGATTTCTTATTTGGGACTGCACATTTGTTGCCCATGTACCTAACACATCGTTTATGTCACAGTCAACCTTATTTGGCCCAAAAATTATTACTTCAGATTTACTCTCCTCCAGATCTAATAGGCAAATAAATCTGAATATCATCAGCATAAGACATACTGTGTATGTATGTATGTTTTTTTAATAAGGCCTTAATGCAACAGAAATAGTACCAAAAAAAAAAAAACAGAATAGGCCCCAAAATGGAGCCCTGAGGTACTCCACAGTCAATAGAAACTGAAGAGGAAGAAAATTATCCAACCCTCACTGAAAAGGACCGTCCATTCAAATAAGAAGTAAACCATTTTAAAACAGTCCTTCTCAGACTCACAACATGCTCTAAATGTTTAATAAGGATATCATGATCTATTAGATCAAAAGCTTCACTAAGGTCGAGCATAATTAAAGCGCCTCAATTACCCGAGTCTGCAATGAGTAACAAATCATTGGAAACTCGCAATAAAGCTCATTCAGTGCTGTGTCCTGCCC